TCATACACAATATCAACAGGCAATGGTAATAGAATGCTCGGTAAGGCAGTGAGACTGGCAATACTTCGCAGAGAGTGTTTGGGCAAGCCATGCTTTATGGCTGCCAAACAGGAAGTCACCAACGAGGCAGCAGAGGGAGCGTGACAGTCAATACTCGGGCGAGGGCTCCCTCTGCTGGCCTGGCATTACACATTATTGTGATTTTTCTTTTTGCCACGAACTAGCCTATGACTTTTTAAAGTCGTTCTAAAATAGGAAACAAAGCGCAATTTGCTATTAGTCCTATAGACTCATTTTCTACGTATTCTGTAGCTTATTGTGAATAAAAAACATGTGGTCAAGAACATTTTGATTCTCCATTTCATGACCCCTTTAACACACATACACTTTAAAAAGGTGCAAAAAAAAGTGTACTTGCAGACAATAAAATATTAATTAAATAAAAGGCCACTTAAAGAAAGTACACTTTCATGACCATGTTTCTTAACACTTTTTTTAAAAGTGCACTTTCTAATAATGTCAAATGAAACGTTTTACTTTGAAGTACATTTTAAGTGTTTTATCTTTTGTCATGCTTTAAAGAAGTACACTTATTTTGAGTAGCATAAAGCACATGTGAAGTACTTGATTATGATCTTAACTGTAGTGTGTTATTTGATATTGCATTTAATGTATTTTAAGTATACTACATTACTTTTGTTCTACCAGTGTGTAATTATAAATATATTTAAGTACTTGGCATACAAGTTTCAGTTGAAATGACAATAAAGTGTAATTTAGTTACCCTTAAATGCTTGTTAGTATATTTGACAGTACTTTTTAACCATATTTCACAGATATTAGAAGTAATTATAAATTTACATATAAAGAGGTATTTAAGTCTTAAGTATCTCGAAAAACATTCTTAAGCTTTTTGCATTTAATATAAATGTTTAAAAAAAATGTCCATTTAATTGCTAATTGCAATAGCATGCAATTTTGTGTCCAGAATTTCTGTAATCAGTACTCTTTTGCTGAAGTATGCTTCTTTTACACAAGTTGTAGGGAGTAAGGCAGCTTGCTAAGTTTGGAGTAGAGCTTTTGTCTTAAATCTCATGATGTTGAAGCAGTGTTTTTTTTCCTCCACACTGTGATACTTCAGTTCAAATGGGAACTTCTACATTGACACTGATTGTATTTTCTCCTAGGTGTGGATTGGGTGTAAATGAAAAATATTTCTCACTCTTTGAAGTGGAGACAGTAATTTGCTAGGCAGCGGGACACTGAAAAAATACCTTGCATCTTGGCTATCAATTCCTGTTAAATTTAACAACAAGAAAATTATGTTAGAATCAAACTGGCCACCTGGAGCCAAGAAAACTTGAAGCGGTAGTGGCAATTGAATAGATACAGTGCTCATTGTTTGTAGCTGTCAGAATCAAACAAATATCAGCTTTATGAGCAATCACACATATACAGTATAGAGTGACCACAGAGGGTTGTGGATTTCTTATTAGACAGGGAGGTTGGCCGGTTTCCACACATTCATTCGCGCACAAACACAGATAATGCATCTGAATCTGCTCATGAACTCTCCCTTGGATATTTTGGCAGATAGTGACACTTCAGATCAACTGAAGTCTGCCCAAGGATAATCTTGCTGATATGGAGGTCTTGGATGAAGTTGGATGGTGCAGCTGGCGCAGCTTGTTCTGTTGGAGGTTTTGTGCTATGTTTCTGTGCTTCAACAGTAACAAAACAGAACATTTTAATATAGATTGTTCATATGAGGCTATTAGAGCCTAACTGTGCTTGAGTGGGCCGAAAGATAGGCATTAGCCATAGTTTTTCCATGAGGAAAGAGGGGCTTTGATTTTGATGATGGGTTCCATTTCAGATTACATCATCTGGAGATGTCCCAAAGGACTCCAAATGGAAATAATTATTCAGTTTAAATGCAGATATGTTCGATTGTCCAGTAAAACTCAGTTGACTAGTTTTTCCAAGTAGTCACTCAGCCTCAGTTCCTTGCATAAATCATGAAAATGTGTTTTTTGGTAAAATGACATTGCAAACAATGTTTTGTGCCCAGTCTGTGAACAGGAATCAGAGTTATTCTGTAGTTTCAAAGGCTCAAAGTTTTACTTTAACACACTTTAACATGAAGGAACCGATCTGACCGACGTGAATGACTGTAGTTTTTTTAGGTTAGCGTAAATTATACCACAGTAACAGACCATCGTTCAGAAAAGCCGCAGCTTATTAAAATATTAGTTTAAAAATGATCTTGTCAATACTAGTTTATTAACATAAAAATAAATAATTGAAATCCAATCCACCAAAAATTCAATCCAAAACACAGAAATTACAAACTATATTTTAACGACACCAAGCTGCGGCAGACGGAGACACTGAAGAGGGACTTCAGGAGCCTGATCGAGACGGTGCGCCGCACATCGCCCGCGATGACGATCATCGTGTCAGGACCGCTTCCCACGTATCGACGAGGACACGAAAGGTTCAGTAGACTTTTTGCTTTAAATGAATGGTTATTGTCATGGTGTAAAGAACAGAAACTGCTCTTTGTTAATAATTGGAATATTTTCTGGGAGCGTCCTAGGCTTTTTCGCACTGATGGCCTGCACCCCAGCAGAGTCCCACTCTCTCGTGAATGCGCATACGACAGTTAGCGGAGGTTAGAGATTAAGGTTTATAAAGTTGTAAATATGGATATTTTTCTTACACAAATGCATCGCTTCGCTTCGGGAAGCCTTTATTAAACCCCGGAGCCGTGTGTACTTCTTTTATAATGGATTGTTTACATTTTTTGGACTTCAAATTTTGGGTTACCATCCACTCCCATTATAAAGCTTGGAAGAGCCAGGATGTTTGTTAATATAACTCCGATTGTATTCGTCTGAAAGAAGAAAGTCATACAAGAAAAAAGTGTCTCACACGACTCCGGGGGGTGAACAAAGGCCTTCTGTAGCGAATCCATGCGCTTTTGTAAGAAAAATAACCATATTTAAAACGTAATAATCACTTTAATCTAGCTTGCGCTCACTGTTGTACACGGAAGCAGTTCCGGGTGCATAACGTAAGACGTCGGCGCCGCTCAGAGGTGATGAACGTGGAAGCTCAGGGGAGAGATCAAAACAAAACAACGGTCAAGAATTAGAAGTACAAAACAAGGATTTGTAAAGAAGAATGTCGGAGGATTTCGATATAAACCAAGAGGAGACTGGTTTTCCTTTGCTAAAGTAAGGAAACTTTGGATCCTTTGCTCCTGTAAACAAACGTTGGTTTTCACGAGACTCACCAGCGCATGCGCAACGCTGCCCTCATACGTCATCAGCCCGGAACTGCTTCCGTTTACAACTGTTGGCGCAAGCTAGATTAAAGTGATTATTACGTTTTGAATATGGATATTTTTCTTACAAAAACTCATAGATTCGCTACAGGAGGCCTTTGTTCACCCCCTGGAGCCATGTGAGACACTTTTTTTTATATGGATGGGCGCTTTTTATTTAACTTCTTTTGGACTGAAGCACTGCAACACCCGCTGACTGCAATGATAGAGCTTGGAATAGTCAGGACAATTTTTTATATAACTCCGACTGGATTCGTCTGAAAGAAGAAAGTCATATACACCTAGGATGCCTCTGGGGTGAGTAAAACACAGCCTAATATTCATTTTTGGGTGAACTAACCCTTTAAACTTAAGTCTTAATATCCTGTGTGATTTTGCTTCTCAAGTAAATTTATATTGTTTTAAAGATTTTTTTCTGGTAAACAGAGCAAAAAATACTTACTTTGCAGAGTGAGATGCCTGTAATATCATGCAGAGGTGCATTATCCTATTAATCACCCACTTTTTCCCAGATATAGGATGTCTGGTAGACCCATTCAGGTCATTAGAAAGGAAAAGCATATTTAATCTCTGATTACACTGTCATTTTCATTTGCAACAGAGATGACACAGAGTGTTTTGAGTGGATTTTGAGTTTTGTTTTCACATCAGCACTTTCAGTCCATTTTGACCACGTGCGACGGCAGCCCTTCATGCAGTGGTGTCGATTTATGCAGCGCGCGGGCATTTCCTTTGTAATGAACCCTCGGGGGATGCAGGAGGGAGCGAGGGGGGTCGCTCGCTGTGTAATATTTCCTGGGAGACCAAGCTAAACGACTAGCTCAGCGGCCTGCGCTTTGCCGGGCTTCAGTTTTGTGATGACTGAGGGGGCTCCGATGTGACTTTAACAGCCCTGTTTGAAGTTCACATTTGATATTCCACCACATCAAGAAGAGGTCTAACCTTGCCATCGATTCACACTCTCGTTCGGGCTGTCTAATTTGCTATGGAAGCATAGGGAAAAGACCCTGCTTTCAGGCAGGGAAAAGCCAATAAGTCGTAGGGACTGTGATGTGTCCTACAATCGATTAGCCCATGTGTGTCTAAAGCCTTGCAGACTCTCTCTCTCTTGCTCTCGTTACGTTCACAGCACCCCTGGCAGTGGACATGGACCGTCACTCATAGCCAATGAATCTTAACTAGACACAGGGAGAATGGAACATGGGCTGTCAAGTGTATCTGTCAGTGAGTTTGTTCACTCTGGCAGAGAGATTCATATTGATCTCCGCTCGCGGTTTGGATTTTCCCTCTTTGCCCTCGTAGACTGTTCTCATCGTCATCTTTAAACTGTATAAACAAGACCATCTTATGTTTGCTCCCTAAAAATGTTCGGAAACATTAGCAAGAGTTTGTTTTTGCTTATGACAGGCAATGTCACAGAGTTTTAGAGATGGTCGGGCCCAAACACATGAGTTAGAAAGCAGGTGGATCGATTCAGAGATCAGGTTGCCCGAGGGTTTCTTCCAAACCTGATGAAAACATGATATAGCAGGCTTACAGAAATAGCCCTTATAGCTGATTCGCTTAATGGACTTGATGTGCAAGCTTTGTGTAGTACCTGCCTTTGAAAAACCTAATCTCTACTTCTCTTTCTCTTTTTCAAACCTGTCAGGCGGGAATGATCCGTGCAGGTCAAGAGGAGTTTTTTATCGAGCCACTAGAGAGAGGAGGCGACATGACAGGAGAGGAGGAAGGAGGACCCGGGCGTCATCACATCATCTACCGCTCTTCTGACATCAAGAAGCCGGCCGTCAGTCATCCCGCTGACTTTCATCCCAGAGGTCAGATCACCTTTTTGACACCAGCTCGTCATGGAGTGCTGAAGCGACTCCTTCACATGCATGCTGATGACCAGGGAGGGATGCTGAGGTTCAGTTTCTTGCCACTGAATCAACATACATTTTTAGACTGCTCATTGCTGGGTTTTTATGCAGGTTTGGTGCTGGTCTGGTATGGTCGTTCTGAGCCAAGGGAGGCTTGATGTTTAAGTTAGCATTGCTCAGCAAGTATACAAATTTGATTCAAATTAAATGAGTATACAGTTATAATTAACTGAAAAATCCATAAATTATTATTATTATTATTAATAATAATAATAATGCATGGCAAAACTTTACTGATTTGTCTTTCATTTTTAACCCATTCTTAATGATGCCAAGACTCATTTGCAAATCTTGTATCATTATTGCCACTGTGACCAAAAAATAAAATTAAAAAATTAAAAAGAAATAAATTACAAATAAAATTAAATAATAATAATAATAATAATAATATAGCTGCAAGAAGCAATGATGGGCATGTTTCCTCAGAATGGCTTGTTCTCCATATGTAAAAAAAAAAAAAGTTTTGGGGAGTTTGAACAATGCACTTTAAAGATAGGCTACAAAACAACTCTTGTTTACTTTTTTGCCGCTATTTTAATAAATTGCCATGGCAACACTGTTTGAGATATCCAAAAAACTTTCACAGTTTAGGTTCCTCAGTGTTTTGGCATCATGTAGACAAAGTTTGGTGTAAATCATATGACCGCAATCGGAGGAGTATACAGAAGAAGAATTTTAAAGTTTGAAGCGTTGCCATGGCAACGGTATTTAAGATATAAAAAATCCCTTCACAGTTGTACATCTGTTGTGTCTTGGCATTATCCTGATGAAGTTTGAAGCAAATCAGGTAAAAAAATAAGAGGCTGATTTCAAAGCATTTTGAAAATGACACACTTCCTGCTGCCATTTGGTGGCGCTATAACTTTGACGCATAGTAGTCACAGCTATGTGATTAGCCTCCTTCAATGAACAAACTGCTGAAGTTTGATCAAAATCAGCCAATGTATAATGAAGTTATAACACACTTCCTGTTTCTCTTTTTTCACCATAAATTTATCACCTCGCCACAGCCAAACCATTCAAGACACCTGAAATCCCTTTGCATTAAGATCATATTGACTGAGTTTGGTGGGGATCGGATGAAAACCCTAGGACGAGTATATCAAATTCCAGAGCGTGCATTTTTGAAACAATCTACAATAGCTGTCTTCCTGTTGGGTGGAGCACTGATTGTCAGCACGAATCTATGTATGTACTAATTTTTGGTGACTAATAGGTGAAATGGTGTGTGCTGCAGAGCCCCTCAAATATGATCTTGTAAAAGGCCGTGCCACTGGCCCCCCGCCCTTGACACCCATTCAAAAACTACAACGAACATTTTCCGGGATTTGTGATATCACAAATACCGACGAATGGGACGAGACCTGGTTGAGCTGCTTCAATGTCTATCAAAGCTAAAGCCATGTCTCATAGTGTTAAAGAAATAGTTCATTCAAAAATTTGTGAATAATGACAATTTTTCATTTTTGGTTGAACTGTTCCTTACTAAATGGACCTGAGGCAGGGTAAGTGGATAAAGTGATAAAAGTTCTCCAGGGCTGAGTCATTGCCCAGGCTGTTCATCCCCTTCCACCCCCAGCTCTGTCTCTCTCAGCATCCTGTGTGAGACGTGTGAGGAGAGGAGCTGCAGAGTGACTGGATAAAGTCATAAACTTCTCTAAAAAGGATTCACATGTCACTTTGAGTTTGAGCAGTCGAGTTCAGCCGGGGGATATGGAGAGCCTCGACATGCGTCACAGTCCCTTTGCTTTTTCATTTTTCTTCTCAGCCTGGTTGTTTTAAAGGGCTGCATGAATTGCTTAACTGCAGTACTGTCAAACCCTATTTGACAGAAATACAAAAATTCTTGCTGATCCTTTTAAAAGGACTGTAGGATTAGCGCTGTAATCAATACCAGAGTTGGGCAATGCTGCTTTTAAAAGTAAAATCAATTTACTCACTTTACTTTTAGAAGTGATGTTACAATCTTGCTTTATGCATCATAAAAAGGCATGTTCACACCAAGAATGAAAACTATAACTATATTACCGCTTACACCAGAAGATGATAATGTTTTTTTTTTAATTTATTATTCTACAGTAAGTGTGTACTGCAGTTATATTCTCGCAGTGCGTGAAGTCGGATGAATTTTTTTTGGTTATCATTATCAACAGAAACAAAAGTGCTCCCAATGATGTTGTTTCTTTGTATCATTATTGTTATGGCTGTTTTGTGGTTATCACTACCATTATAAGTAAACAGGCTTTAAAAGGATAGTTCACCCAAAAATGAAAATTACCCCATGATTTACTCACCCTCAAACCAGGTGTATATGACTTTCTTCTTTCAGACGAATGCAATCAGAATCAAAGTGATGCATTTGTGTCAGAAAAATATTCATAATTAAAAGTGTATAAACTGTAATCTCTAGCTTCCACTAACTGTTGTACACACGTTCACAAGAGAGTGGCGTTCCAGCGGATAACATAAGACATAGGCGTAGGACATAGGCAGTTTATAAAGTTTTAAATATGGATATTTTTCTTAATATATTTTAAAATTTAATTTATTTCCGTTGTAACGGAAGAGGTCTGACACAACAGGTTAGTATATATAAAACAGGTTTATTTGGTCACAGAGAGTACTGGTGGCAGAGGCGGGGACTCGGGAGGCCATGACGGAGCTGGGGACTTGGGTTGCCCTGGCGGAACAAGGGACTCGGGAGGCCATGGCAGAACAGGGGACTCGGGAGGCCATGGCGGAACAGGGGACTCGGGAGGCTGAACTGGGGATCGGGAACCCTTCCTGGGCTGAACTGGGGATCTGCCGGCTGCCTTGAGTGAGCCGCGGACGGCGGCGGACTGGTTCTGGCTCGGGACCGGACACTCCCCAGACACCGG